AGTTACAAAAATACAATGCTCTTATCCTCTTGCCTTATTTTGGTGTGCCACTTGATTTTTAGCGGTATTATTCCTTGGTAAAGGATTTTGTGCTTAAAGAGTGGATTTCACATTTCCTTTAAGCATAAGACCATTAGTCTCTGGAGGGTGCATCTTTCTCTAGGTAACAATTACTATGAAACATAACATATTCATCCTCCATTATTTGGCAAATAGGTAAACAGTTCCTTAGAGTGAAACATCAATATAATTTGTTTTACCATCAACATTATTAATCACATATCATTTCTATTATCATAACTGTTATTGTTATTGTAGGATTACTTGGAAAACTATTACTTGGTATTTCAAACCGAGAGCAACACACCCTCCAGAGACAAAATCCCAAAACCAGTGTATCATGCAAACCCAAAACCCCAAACCTAACCTTTCCTACTTTCTATTTATTCCCTAGACAGGGGGCAAGCCCCCTTGTACTCCCCTTTATTAGCACTTCGTGCCAATTTATAGAAAACAGACAAAAACTCAGTGTGAGGGGATTGCAATTCTTTTGTGGTGTGCATTTCTTTATATAGAAAAAAATATATAAATCAGTGTGCAAACTGTGGTCTTCAAACCGGGTCAAAATTTCTATATTTTCAATTATGAACTCTGGGAAAAGGTCTTTGGAAGGCATAGAAACATAACCAAACTTCATTTCCGTTAATAGTTTCACCAAGCTTAATCATGACATACTTGAAAATCTAATAAAAACTCAATATAATCCTAACACAACCTAACCTAACCTAACTTAACCTAACCTAGCCTAGGCTAGCCCTACCTAGTATAAATTAAATTAACCTAGAACAGCTGAAATTTCCAAAACCCATTATTTCCATGACAGCATGCATAATGAGTATTTTAGATAAAATGGGTCACAATACTATAATATATATCTCCAAAAATGTACAAATTCATTAGCCTTTTTCACATAATTGATGTCATTCATATCATTGTGAATGAAAGTATAGCGATAGTAAACTTGCCAAAGTTATATGCATATTCTGACGAGATAAGAGTACAAAACCAATTTAAAGTATTGCGTGTTGTAGATGTATATCATACAGCGCAGAAGCTACTTTCTACATATACTGCACTTTCATTTCCCTGATATGTTTCCTGCTTTTCCCCTTGAAATGAACATGGCAAGATTGCGCAAGCAAGAATGACAAAGCTGCAACATCTGTGTGCATGACAGAAGGAATAAAGTTTATGCTAAATTCTCTGTATATCGAGCCTTCTCTATACCAACAAACACACAATTATTTTCCCAAACATCTTCAACATTTTAAAATAACTAATGAAATTTCCCTCATCTCAAAATAGGAAAAAATCTCACCAGGTCACATCTGGAAATTTCCCATCGACAGAGAGCAAATACACCAGGAAAAATACTCCTCCCAAATGACTTATCTAATCACATTCCGATGCATAATACACGTTATTGTTACGGTTTTAATTATTACAACTATCATTGTTGTTATCAATATCATTATGACTATCACAGAAGAGGCATATCTACCCTTGTTGGCGTGGCCGAGAATCGCAGGTCCTCTTGCGTAATTTTCCTGCTCCACACTCCAACCACTGAGCAGGCGAGGAAAAGTGTGCAGTTGTTCACCCTTGAGGAGTGTAGTGTTCACCCTTAGTGCAGAAGAGCGCAGTGAGGATGAGGAGGCAAAGGAGGAGGCTCCCCCTTTCACCCTCCTTATTTCGGCGACTCGACACCAATCCAACCACCTCACACCATCTCATACCACCTCATAACACCTCACGCCACCCCAGCCTGTCCAGGACGAGCGTACAGGCCCTTTAACACGTGATTAGAACAGCAGGTTGAGACGGAAGTCATAGGAGCTCCTGACGTCACACACAGGAGGCAGAGAACAACACCAAGAACCGCCCCGTCACCATCGGGATGCGCAAGCCCTCGGTTCGCCCTCGGTTCGGCCCTCTGCGGGTCTCGGGGGCTCGGTTCACTGCGGTTCCTAGGTGCAGGGGGTTAATTCTGGGTTCCAAAGGTCAATTTACATCTCTCGTAAGATGGCCATTTTCACAAACATCAAAGAACCGCCCCCGTTTGGTCACCATCGGGATGCGCAAATCTCTCGGTTCTCGGCTGGTTCACACTGGTTCTCCGGTCTCTCTTCCTCTTTTCTTCGTTATTTCCTCTCGTTTCTAAAACACAAATTGAAAAGTAACAATATCCCTTGCTTTACGACGAGAATCGACAGTGGCGTTCATTCAAAAGCCTCGAAAATTAGCCAAGCGCGAAAACCACATTCGTTGCTCTCTATTGCGAAATAAACTTGGCAAATAACACAGAAGCAACATAGTGAAAGCACGTGATAATCAATAACGTGCGTGTGTGTTATGATTAATGCACGGGACGTGAGTAAAGTACTCCTTTATTGAAGAAAATCACGAGAAAGTTCACTGCGTATGTATCTGCGTGACCTTAATTTCTCGAACGTTTTTAAAATCGTCAAAAGTGGTTAAAACAGTAGAATCAACTACTAAATTAAATTAAGTAAAACATTTCACTCATCAGAAAGAACGAAAACGACTTTAGAAGGGAAATTGAATACGGCATATGCTCTGCATTCATACTATAATGAGAGTGTGAGTCACGCACACTTGAGCGCCATCGATTATTACTCATACTTCTAAGATTATCTTACGATTTACTCTTATCACTATCATTATGATATGCTGTTGTTATTGTTGATTTTATCAGTGTTGTTAGTCGTAGTTTTATTAGTAGTAGTGATAGCAGCAGCAGCAGTAGCAGCAGCAACAGAAGTAGTAGTAGTAGTAGTAGTAGTATTAGTAGTAGTAGTAGTAGTAGTAGTAGTAGTAGTAGTAGTAGAAGTAGTAGAAGTAGTAGTAGTAGAAGTAGTAGTAGTAGTAGCAGCAGCATTGGTTGTGTAGGAGTAGGGATAGGAGTAACAGTATTATTATATTTAATATGATCACTCATTATTATTATTATTATGATTATCATTATTTTTGTTGTTTTGTTGTTGTTAGTGTTATTATCATTATCATTATTATTATCTTTATCTTTATCTTTATTACTAGTATTAGTATTAGTATCATCATAATCCTTATTACTCTTATTATTATTGTTATCTTTATTATTATCATTATTATTGTTGTTGTTGTTATTGTTATTATTTTATCGTCATTATTACCTATATTATTAGCAGTAGTAGTAGTAGTAGTATATGTATCATCATCAATATCATCATTAGTATTATTAGTGTTATTGTTATTGTTATTGTTGTTATTATTATTATCATTATTATGATTATCATTGATATTATCATTATTATTATCATTATTATCATTATCATTATCATTATTATTATTATTATTATTATTATTATTATTATTATTATTATTATTATTATTATTATTATCATTATTATCCTTACCATTATATTATGATTATAATTATTATTAGTATTCTCCTCCTCCTCCTCCTCCTCCTCATCATCATCATCATCATCATCATCATCATCATCACCATCATCATTTTTACCATTATCATTATTATCAATCTAATAATATTCATATTCTAATATGATTACCATCACCATCAGCAATATATTTATTATCATGATAATCATAGCAATACCAATGATAATAAAGATGATAATATGAAAATAATAATGGTGATAATTATGATATCAACAGCAGGAAAATCAACAATAATGACAATAAGAATAACGACTAATTATATTTATGAAAATGATAACTGTAGTAGATTACAACAGAAAATATATGATAATAACTTCACAATTCACAATAACAACAAGAATTATAGTAGTATTAATATTAATAGCAATAATCATACAATGGAAATATAGTGATAGTGAATGAAAATATGGAATAATGATATTGATGATAATAACAATGATATTGATGATAATAACAATGATAAAATAATGATAATAACAATAACAATGGTAATAATTATAATGATGATGATGATAATGATTATAAGAACGATAATGATAATAACAGTAACAACAATAATGATGATGATAATGATAATAGTAATAGAAATAACAATCACCATAAATGAAAACAATAATAGTATTAGTATCAATGATTACACAAAAGATGATGATTATAATAATAAAAAAATAACTAACAATAATGAGGATGGTACTAATGATGGTATGAATAATAATGACAATAATAATGATAATAATAATGATAATAATAATAATAATAATAATAATGATAATGAGAATAATGATAACAATATTAGTAATGATAATGATGATAATAACAATAACAATAATGATAACATTAATAGTAATAATAATAATAATAATAATAATAATAATAATAAAAATAACAACAATAGTGATAATAATAATGATAATATCAATAACAATAATAATGATAATAAAGAATAAGTAATGATAATGATTGTACATCAAATAATGATAATCAAACAATCACAACACAGTTGGTAATACCGATAATGATAACAACAACAATAATAATGATAACAAAAGTGATAATGATAACAATAACAGCATTGATAATATCAATAATAATAGCTATGAGGATAATGATAATGATGATATTGACAACATTGGCAATGAGCGTCTTGATAATAACAAAATAATAATGAGAATAAAAATGATGATGATGATGGTAAAGATAATAATAAAAATAATGATACTAATGATAAAGATGACTATGATGATGGTAATAATGAAAACTAAAATAACAACAACAACAATAAGGATGACAATAAAAGACAGTAATAACTATAAGGATAATAATAATGATGATAATGACGATGATGATATAATAATAATGATAATGATTATAACAACAGTAATAATAATGATGGTGGAAGTCTTAACAATAATAGTAACAATAAAATTATTATAAATTAATGATTATGATAAAAATAATGATTACTACTATTACTACCA